TCTTCTTCTTCTCCCTCTCTTTCTCTTTCTCTCTTTCTTTCTCTCTCTCTTTCTCCCTCTCTCTTTCTCTGTCTCTTTCTCTCTATCTAAGTTGAATGAGGAACTCACTGATTGTCCAGAACTGGCCTCTGCCACTCCTCTATGGTTCTCTCCCACTCCGTGTAGTGACTGAGGGCGTGAGCAGCAAGTCTGGGGGCGGCCGTCCCATCTTCCCCGAACCAGCGGGTATACCACCTGGGACAGCAAGACAGTCGGTTATTAGAATAACTGACCACTTTTTAGGTTACGGCCTGATAACCAATGGCAAAAGGTCAATGACTAGAACCAGACATCTGTCACCATGGTAGCTAGCATTGGGTTACATCATGTTGCAATTTTATAGCAGGAGTGATTTAGACTCCTGTCACCATCCATATGAATGTGTTTGAATAAGAATTAAGAGAGCAGACCAAATGTGATGGTAAACATTATGCATGCATTTGCTTTACAAATGTTACCTTTCTAAAAATATGGTCTTTCCTTTTCCTTTCCTTGATAGTGATCTATCATGCACAGCAAGCAAAATAAGTCCAACTGGGTAAAGCAAAGTGACTGTCAGACAATATATATATATATTTATATACATACATACATACACACACACATACATACATATTATGTGTATCAGACACATGTGTTAACTTACCTATTGTAGGTGCGACAGGACCCACCAAAACTTGATGACGGGCATGTCCCAGGCCAGAGCAAACTCCGTGTCCTGTTTCCCACCTGCAGGCAGCTTGAAGGATGCACAGACTGCCCCGGCCAGCGCTTCTCCTTTCACTGTCTTGTTTGTGGGGGCTGTGGACAGACATGAACATCTGCATGCATCATCTCTGAGCACATTCAACCACATAAGGAAATTTAATGATACATCCAATGCAATTTCAGGGGACAAACTTACTGGATTTTCAAAGTGAATTTTTTTGTCATTCTTTTAATGTATCAAGTTGAATAAATCCTGTCCCATAGCATACTGATAGCTTTGGGGCAAAAATGTGATGTTGCTGATGGAAAATGGTTGCTTGTTTTGAATCTTAAGCTTCAAGCTATTTATGGGTGGCAACCAAAAAATAAAGAGATGCCTAACATAGCTTGTCTTGAGGCTTTTTCAAACACTTCAAGAAGCAAATTAATGTGCGAAGAAATGATAGTAGATGTCAATATCAGACAGATTTCCTCATCCAGAAAATTTCTTTTTTTTCATTTTGCCACCCTGAAATTGCATTGGACGGCTTTTAAATCAATGGTCTTCACAATTGTGTGTAGTAACAGGGTTACCTTCTGGTGACCCCAGTTCTCCGTCTGACATCAGATCTCTCCAGATCTCCTTCCCAGAACCAGCTGGGTTAAACGACGTGCTCCCGGTCACTCTGATGCCGTCCTGGAAAAAAAGACGATGTTCAACTGATGTACAGTCAAACTAAGCCCAAGTGACCATCTCTATGAGCCGGCCATCTGGCCATAATGACTGCTTTTTCTCATTCCAACTTTTTCCCCATTGACACATGATTGATGTCAGCATTTGCAGACTTGCCATTTGTCCAGCATTACTGCACCTGACACAATGGAATCGCACATGGCCCAATCTTTGTGATATTCAACCATGTCATTTTCAAGAAATATTGATGGAATCGGCCAGTTTGCCATTGATTTTGAAAGCATGACAGTCAATGTACATGGGGTGCCATCTGGGTCACTATACATGTAGGTTAATGGGATAGTCTATTGTAAAATTATAGGTAAAAGAGATTTTGCTGTGGTTTACTACTTCTCTGTCTTGTCTTGTCACCATGCTTTTTGTATAAGAAGACCACTTGTCTGGGTGGTTAGAAATCTTTACTGTCACAATGTAACTTTTATTCCAAGATAAAGACAAGTTACAAGTACACAAGAGAACTCTCCTCAGAACTCTCACTCCTCTCCATACCTTGTGCGGTATTCCTAAGGCGATTGTGCAAGGCATCGTCTTATGCTGGTGATGCAACAATATCCCTGATACGGGGTGGACCCCCTCCTCATTGACGGAAAATGGTTCGTTCCAGTGACCTCCCGAGAGGTCGGTTTCAGCTCCAATGGAATTCTGGAAGGTGAACATCAGGCTGATGTCTACCTCTTCCTTCCCATGATTCTCTGCGGTCCAGACAAACACAGCGGCAGGAAGGCTGCTATCCTGGAAATGTTAATGTCTGACATGTAATCTCATTGAAGGACAATATTTCTTTCATTCTGTTGTTACACATGTATATAGCAAGAAAGTTAAGAATAAGACAATGATCTTGTTACTACATGTACTAGTTAAAAATCTTTTCATGGAGCATAGGATTAAAGCTGAATGTGTTCCATTTGGGGTTGCTGGCGGTCATTCGAACAAAACGCATGCTCCATTTGGTCTCAGTGTAAATAGGATTTTAGTGTTTATGGGATTTAATCCCTACTGGCAAAGCTATGACCAATATGAAATGGCTTATGGCTGATGACAACACCTAGTAACAAACATACTGTTTTTTATTCATGATTTAGGCAACCAAAATTTTACTATGACCAACAAATACCTAACTTAAAGTGTACAAGCAAGTACACCTATAATGGAATTGCTCAATGTTACCTTGTAGTCATGTGGCAGCACAGGTGACACCTGTCGACATGTTAGCGTGATGTTCTGCCCGGGTAAGTCGTACACGGTCCAGGCGCGGGGGTACAGGGCGTGGTAGTAGGCGTGGGCGGGGCTGTAGCTCCAGTTCCACTCCGTCAGACACGAGGGGTGTCTGGTGGATAGAACCTGCTGGTACGTCGTCTGCCCTCTTCTACGTATACACACCGTAAACTGGGGAAAAATGTTGCAACTTAAGAAAACCTGTAGGTATGGAAATATTGAAAGCAGAAGAAATACCCTGGACAAACTTTAAGAATATGTAAATATCATAATTTGAATAGAACAGAGGAATAAAATGTAGATTGTATAACAAAGAGAGAAATGAACTGTATACTAGTATATACTGTATACTAGTATATACTGTATACCAATTTTCCTAGTATAATTACACTGTACGAAAATTCATACTCCTAATGGTACGAGACAAACCTTCCAAATTCCAATGAAGAACATACTGATTAGATTCTGTTCTTTTATCTTTACTATAACTCAAAAGCTGAATTTATCTAATTATAGTTCACTGTAGACCAGTCCTTACCTGGTTGGCCATTTTGATGTCATAGCTGTAGATCCCAGGTAGCAGTGCCCACCTACAGAAGTCACCCTTCCAGCCACGGCATATACTCCCACAGCCTAGACCACCTAATGGTACACCTGGGTACATGGGACAGATGGATACAGTGAGTCAGTAAATAGCCTCAATAAGATTGAAGTATGCATGTATGCCTACTTTAATCGAAAATACTTTTTCTGCATACCTGCACTGGTGCAGGTTACATTGAGAATTACCTGCACCAGACAAGTTTTACCTCCACCACTCATACTTTGCCAGTGTTTCTTTATATTTCATTGGTGGTTATTATATTCAATGCGATAAAATGAAATAGAAACTTTTTATGCACTACGTATTACTGAACTATACAAAGGATAAAGTTTATATTAAATTGACCCTCCCTGATGATGGAAATGGAAATGAATTATTAATTTCCCCTCTTCCTCCTAAATTATCATTATTTATTCATGACAGTAGACAATGTCGGGGGTTAGATGGTGTAAGATCATACAGTATGAAGCATACAACAAAGGGACACCTGGGTGTCATAAAACCACAGTCGTCATTATGTAGACCGAAAGCCTCCAGGAGTGCAATGCAGTTAACGATACTGATACACTTTAGTCTAGTATAATAAGTACATGTATGTTAAATTAAAAGCACATGTCTGGTGCAGGGCTTGAACTACAGTACCGTTCGCGTTATAGTTAACCGGGTACCCCGTTACTAACGAGTTATTTTTTCGTCAGAAAATGGTTAGAAAATCGTCAGTATTTGGTTAGATTTTCGTCAGAAAATGGTTAGAAAATCGTCAGAAATTATTTCTAACGCGTTACCGTTTGCGTTAATGTGATAGGGTCGGATTTCATGTTTGTTTTGCGCGCCGACAAGACAATAGCAATTTGCCACCTCCTGGGGCGTCCGCTAATGTGTTGCGATGTTGCCCCTTGAAAAATAACAGCACCAGAGGCAAGTGGACATGTGATTCGTAAAATAACTTTGTGGTTTATCCATGTGTCGACTGTGTGAAGCGAATTGTGCTATCTTTTAATGCTATTCTATAGTTATTTCTAGCGGAAAATTACGTTGTGTAATACAATGTATGTCAACAAAGTGTAGCAGTGGGCAGACGATGTCTTGTACATTTTGTACCAGCGGCGGCCTACCGCTCTCACAGGACGTCATGGGACGTGACGAAACAAGAAATATCTGCCGTAGAAGAAATATAAATCGGTAACTCATGCCTTAAATTCACGGCGGTTTTTGACACAAAAGAAAAATTATTATAATTTTTGTAAGGCGCGCGGCTTACTAGTACTAGCGGCTTTAATACTCACGGTAAAATGTACCGTCACTCCCGGCGCAAGGACTCGGTTCGCCAGCTGAGGACTTTCCACAACCATGATGATATCATAGTTAATAAAGGAATATATAATAGATCTATCATGTTGAAATGATAATTGTAATACATGGTTCTATTTAATAGCGGTAGTTTTGTTTCTTATTTTGAGGGGGGAAACTGTCAAAAATCGAGGGAACGCAAACTGAGATCGGCTCACTTCCGGGTGCATAACGCCAAAATTTCTCGACGATTATATAAAAATGACCACTCATTTGCCGCCTACGGTAGCGTGTACATGGTAGTGCGATCATATCGTGCCAAAGTCAGCGTCAAACGTCAGAAAATCCCCGTAAAAATATAGTTGCAAAACACATTTCCCGCGCACTCAGGGCCGGTCGCCCTGGCCGCTGCCGCCCTGTGTACAGCATGCTCATTATAATATGCAAGTAGCTACGCTCTGATTGGTTCACCTTAGATGACCTGCGCTGTGATTGGCTAGAACGAAGCCCGTTGCATGCTGGGGCGCCCTTCCCCGCGCGAAATGATCTCGAGAGAGCCACATTTACGCTGGTTTCTACCTTATTTCTACGACTAATTAGCAACATCCTAGTGACGAAATGCGTACTCAAAAGAATTTTCGGGAAAAAAAATATATGTACATGTGGATTTGGCGCCTTTGGCGTAATTTTGTTGGTCACATACAACGTAATGTAACACGGAAGTGCATGGAGTCGGAGTGGCGGCACGGCTTTACGTCCCACTCTAAACAAAACTCCAAGGACATAACAAAACTCCCCAAAACTGGTCAATAATTAGCCATAAAAATGTTGGTGGGCACGTGTAAATATGCTGCCTTTTTTCGAGTGTTATAGGAATTTTCCACGATGTTTTTGCACATCCCTAACGTTACCTCACGCCCGCCGCCTATTATGTACGGCGGACCGGGGCATTTAACGTTATAACTTCAGATCATCTAGGTTTGCTTATTCGGTGGTAAAATAAGTTAACAGAGAAAAACAGCAAAACAAAGTTGACAAACTATAGAAACGCTTGCCTGGGCAACAGTGACAAAAGAAAATGTCTATCTAATTGAATTGCGCCGGTGATCGTAAAACGTTTTAAACGTTACAATATAGTAAAATGCAGGCTAGATCAACGTTCCTTCCGCTGTTCCAGCGGTGTGTATCGGTAATTTCCCGCCCCGCATGAGGTAAATTAGTACTCCTCCCAATATTCTGTGATGTTACCGCGGCCTGCATATGAATGCAGAAGTCTAACGGAAAAGTAACGGAAAAGTAACGGAAAACTTACGCAAAAGTTACGGAAAACTTACGGAAAAGTAACGGAAAAGTAACGGAAAAAAACGCGTTAGTAACGGCCGTTAGGGTAACTATAACGCGAACGGTACTGTATACTATACATTTTATGAACTTATTCCTACCCTTTTTAGGGATCAATATTCGGTGCACATGCACCATTTGAGCTGTGCAGGTATTTCTCATGTCTACCTGCACCTACATGCAACCTTAAAATCAACTACAATGTAACCAAGGTCCTTGATGTAACATAGTAATTTTTTTCTCACGTCACTTTTAAATTCAATTAAGAAAGTTAGGCCTGGGAAAATTAATGCTGTGTTTCCTTTTCACAGTCCGGACAAAATTAGGGTTGGTAGTTCAGGATTCACTTTGTAAAAAAGGAACACATTTTAGCCAATTTGTGATCCAACAAATGCAGTTAATAACACTGAAATGCATCAGTATACTGGTATTTCAACTTAAACATTAAACCAAAACATTAGGTCCAGTGTACCAGTACCCCAACTATATATTGTCATATCAAAAATCCACTGACCCAACAAAAAAAGGCTAGGGATGGGGGATTTTTGTTGGGTAAATCGGGTAACTGGAAACACAACATTCTTTTCCTAGGCCTTAACAGAGTATCCTGAGTCCTCTCTAACTTAGTCTAAGCTGTCCATGTGAAAATCAACCAGGAGATTCTCTTGCCATTGTTCTATATACATTACCGTAAATCTGTTGAAGCTGCACAGGGTTCAGGTTATCAATGACTGGTTTCTTGTGTGAACTTTTCTTCTTTATCCACCAGACAAAGTACCTGGGAGAATAAAAAAACATTACGGTACGGTAATCCATATAAAAGGAACTGAACAACTATTCTGTGCATGCAATACTATATTTTTACAAACATTGTACTAATGCCATGGCCCTCTAACACTAACACAGCTAACAGGATTTTGATGTCACAAAGGAATAACTGTACTAGGTATGTGTTAAGAGACAAAAGGACATATTTGTTTTCTTTAGACTCTATTCATTGGCAACTTAGGGTTGTTGAAAAGAACTAAACGATGGCATTTAAACCACAGGAAACTGAGATGGGTTAAGGATCAACAGTGACCAAAGAATATAATTTGTAACCACTGACAAATCATGCTGTGTGCATTTTGTTGGGGTGGGATTCTGGCCTGACCCTGAGTCTGTGAGAATGAGATTGCCATACTGTAAGTCTCTTTAGATTCGCGGGGCCTAAAGTTCGCGGTTTCGGGAAAATGGACAATCCGCGGTATTTTTAGATTCGCGATTTTCCTTGGCCATTCAAAGAACAACTTGTATTATAAAAGTGCATATTTAAAAATATGAAATGTTTGTGTCCCGGCATTTATCTCCTTAAATGCGGCACAAAAATTTGTTTCCTGCACCGCGCAAGGCTGCCTGCATGCTCTGTCAGTATGCAAATCTTGCATCACGTGTCCACGCTGCGCGTGTCTGATTGGTTGTTTCGTCAGTGCCGGCGGTAAAGCTCGATCGATATATCTGACGCGCGTGTAAGCAATTTTCTTTGTTCGAAAATAAGCGCTAAAACGTCATTTTGAACGACTACACATCGATACTCTAGTGAAGAAATACATAATCAAAAGAATCTTTCGGGAAAATATATATTCCTAAGCAAATTTATGCCGTCTTCAGCGGGATTTTGTCGTTCAAACCGAACCCGGAAGTATGCAAAGGTCGCCGTTTTCGGTTCCTCTTTGGCCGACGCTAGCATTTCTATCAATCAAAACAAGGAAAAAAAACACGGGCAAAAGAGAACCAAATAACATTTCTCAGATACCAGCAGTTATATTTTTCATCAAAATATTTGTAGATTTGCCCGACGTTCCCACAATTTTCAAGCGCCCGGGCGCCCGCGAGCGCATGTCCGGCGGGCGGTATTTGCGGTTGACATGGCCAGTGGGGTAGTATCGCGATTCGGTGTCTAATCATATTATTTTTGATATCAGTATAACTTGAATAATTTTGATACTCAACATACTGTACGTACATTTGCTAAGAATAAAGTTGATTTGGAGTGATTTGTGGATCGCATGTGTTATCAGTTGTGTTAAAAATCGGTTAAACTTGAGGTCCGTCGTGAATGCATGAAGGGAGAGGGGCAAACTTACGCAAAACATATTCGCGGGGAAATAGATTCGCGGCACAGAGGTCCCCGCGAATTCCGCGAATCTACATATACCGCGGAAATTTGTAGACTTACAGTATTGTATTTGTGTCATTCTCACCCTAGAAACATAGCCTGGGCACCGTCCTGGTTAGTTTACATCCACTCCCACAGTCGCTACACACCAACCGCTGTGGGTGCAGATGTACACATTGTCAACTAACCAGATGGTACACAGGCTATAAGAAACACTCATTTCAATTTGTGAAATGTGCCAAAATTTGGTGTCGGTCCCTATAGCTAAACAAGATATTGTACGAATTTTCGAAATGCATTCAACGTGCTTGAATTATTTTATGGGACATTTGGAAGCCCATGTGATAACCAAACGGAACCCCGTGTGATACTCCTGGTTATCACACAGGCTGGAACACCTGTATCAAGTACTTATTATTATTATCACATAAATTATGACAATAAACATAATCATACTCATACTCACCTATAGAACACTCCGTACAGATCTTTGAACTGCTTGAAGCGAGGCTTGGCATTAGGCTTCATATTCCTCCGCGGAAACTCATGGTCCAGGGGGATTCTCCAACCCTGGGGGGGGGGGAATACCATGTACTAGTAAATAGATGACTTCAGACAAAACAATACCTCCATTCACGAAGGTAAAAAAAATCATGGACATGTCTGAACAGATGATACTACGTACATAGTAGATGTCCAAAAGCTAGCCTGGTTACCAGACCTGTTTTAGCTCCTGAGTCTATATCCAAATTTGCGGAGAAGATTATAGACTTGGGAGCTAAAATAGGTCTGGTAACCAGGCTAAAGCGAGATATGATTCTTGGTTCTGTATGGATTCCATATAACATTACTAGTACATGTATTTGCTCTTCAGTGATTTCTATCAGAAAGATTCTTTGTGTGTGGCCATGTGGGATCTACTATGACAGGACTATCATGTCAATCCTTAAAGACAATATAATAACTTGCACATTTTTCCACTATTTACAGGATCTTATCTGATGCATTGTTGGCAAATTAGAAGCCAACATCTGCCAGCATATTTTTATTAACATTACAAAAATTATTGCAGTAACCAAATGCAAAGTCGGACTATTTGTCAAAGTCGGTAATGTTTACGCCGTAACACTTGCACTTAGTAAAAGGAAATGGTTGAAAACTTGTAGGTGTTTGTTTGCTGGCGACAAAAAAATCCTGTCAAAATATAGCAATTCCCTTATGGGACATCTGTCAGTATCAAATCACTGCCCTCAGCTAGCCTCCTGTGCAGGCCTCCAGGCGGGTGGGAGGTTTGACACTGCGTTTTGTAGAATCTTTAACGCGTTCTTTTGCCGGCCACCACGGTGGTGGGTACAGACCTTCTCTGGGCGGCTGGTTGTACAGGCCTGTAGGATGGCCTGCAAAAGAACGCGTTAAAAATTCTACAGAACGCAGTATCAAAACTCCCAAACAACCGGAGGCCTGCACAGGAGGCTAGCCATCAACCCAAACCACAGTGCACAGTCGACCCACTGACCTGGTCTGGAACGCCGGCTCCAGACTGGAAAAGCTTTTCCAGCTTGCGCACCTCTGGGCCGCCCGACAACAGCTCCTGTCGAGTACCCATGTTCCTGGAAGATTTCCTTCTTAGTCGAGCCTTTTTGTCCCCAGACGACACTGTGTTTAGAAGCCCCGACGAGGGACAAAAGCCGACTGTAAGCTGTCAAAATGGAAACAGTCTGACCTGATCTGCCGGCGACTTGTGTGTTTGTGTAATACGTCACCGATAAACACAGGGAATGGTGACGTCATGTTAGGTATACTGTGGCTCTGAAAGGGTAAAATTTTACTGGAGGCACAGTAGCCGGAACATATGTGATGCTAATGCACTTAAGTAATGCGCTTTAAATTCCAAATTAGTGACGTGCAGTGTCATATCTATCCATACATTTTACACTGTAAATTTGCAATACTAGTAGCTCTAAAACTGAGGAACTACAGCATATAAATGTTAACGTTACACAAGTAGAGTCACTAGTATACGTACATGTAGGCTTGTACCTTCTTCCAAGAATCCGATGGTTGCAAAATAAAATGTTAGCTTTTTTCCTTCATCTCTCCATTTCTGCATTTTTCCGTTTCCTCGAGTTGCTCGTATTCGTGCTCTTCACATTTAATTCGATAGGGGGCGTTTTCGGTGCATGTAGTGAACGGCCTGCGAGCTGATTTGCGCTTCTCATAAATAAAAGATTTTGTTCAAACAAACAAACAAACAAACAAACAAACAACACGAACGAACAAACTTTATCTTGTACCCATGCTCATGTGGCCATGGCGTCGAGATCTATATCTAACCCAATTAACTAGACTACAGGTTTGCTCTTTAAAAATGTAGATCTAGATTTTTCTTCATTCACAGGATGGCAGTCTGTAATTTGTAAGGTATATGTCCTTTTTAATTGGAAAGACAATTGTGAAAGAAAAAACAAACATCTTTTTATTGAAAAAAAGGGAACGGAACTATTTAGACGGCTGTTGGAGAGAAAAGACTTTGGGGAAAACAAGATGCATGTTAGCAGATGTATAAAGGTCGGTGCAGTGATCTGGCAAGCAATTCACACTGGATCTTACCTCTTCCATAACCTTTTTGTCACATCCGTGTACGTAGTTTCGCTGTGTGAAGTGTTATACCGAGTACAAATAACGGCACAGGAAATTGACAGTTTTGTCGTCAAGGCGAGCAATTTCCACCCGCCGACATTTAGCAGAAGCACCAATTTTTCCACAAATAATTTCTCTCGAGCACTTCCAGTGACGCATGGTGCCTGTCGACATTTAATGGCCAACCACTTGGTTCGAGTGATCTCGGCGATCGTTTACTGGGAAGCTAGCGTCTCTCGGGCGATGGTTTTATTTAGGAACAAAAAGGTAGGAACTGATTCGCGCCAGAATGCGCCATGGCCATCGACTTAAGCGGCAATTTACCGTAACTTCCTGCCTGTGTCTTGGAAAGATGTACGTATGTACCACCCAGGCAACAGCAAGTAAATTCTATGGATGACATCCTCTGCAGACTGCAAATCTAATGCGATAGGGAGAAAGAAAAAAAAACACGGCCGGCCAAAAAAACAAGATTCCTACATTTTCAAATTTTGACATCATAAACCTTGTTAAGCAAGATATAGTTTTTTTACCGAAACAACTTTGAAAAATAAGTTTTCAATAATTGTACGAATGGTTTTTGATTCAGTGGGAACATCATATGTACCACCATCACATATATATCTTTTCATCCATAACATTTACTTGCTGTGGCCTTATTCTAGATTACATGAACTAACTGACTAGTTCCATGCATGCCCTGTTGAATAGGTCAAAACGCAAGTAACGCCTTCTGAAATGCCATGCAGTTTACAGTTTTAATTAATAACGTATAAAAATGTAATACGAGTGAATCTGTTCATATACCATGCACATTTAACGGTGTATGACTATGTATAACGCCTTGGCCCTGGTCATAGATTTTTATTTATCTGCCTTTTGCAACCTGCCGTGTCACTGCCTTGCCTTTCAAAACAGCGGAAAAAAGACTAAAGGCATCCAATGCGATTTCAAGGCAGCAAAACTGGAAATATTCTGAATAAGGCCATCTTTGTGATGTTGACACATACCGCTTCACATTAGCACATTTGAATCAGCATTTCATACTTTAGGCATTGAAAACAGCAGAGACAAGCCCCGAGATGAGTCCTTTATTTTCTGAGTTGCACCCTAAAAATCAGCCCTGGGCCCTTCCAGTAACCATTTTCCGTTAGAATTTTTGCTCCCTTAGGGTCAATATACATTGGGATAGTGTGGTTTCAAGTCAGTATGTAGATACATAACTAGAATATTGGCTTTGAAAAATTGGGTTTCCAAGCCCTAAAACTGCATTTGATAACGTTCACCGCATGTCAATCCCACACAAAATCAACAAGAAAAGCAAATATCATGCTCCCGTACCCAAAATCCAGGAGGTACTGTGTACCAGTAATCTATTTCATTTCCTTTACTGTACCAGGGGTAAAAAAATACTGCCTCCCGGACATGAAGTAATAAGTGGGGTCGAGCACGCCGTCCGCGTGTATCTGCTGGCTAGATAACCGCCGACTTACAAGCCCATTATGACGGACCTAACGGTATGTTTCAGGACCTTATCTGTGAAGTGCATCCACCCATCTTGGGTCTAGCCAGAGGGACACAAATGCATCCTGATGAAGAAGTTTGATACGTTCAAAAGGCCTTTCTGGTTTAAGGTCGTGTTCAGCGGAAAGTTTGTACGGGGTTGTTCACTTGTTGGCAGCATATGGATAGTGATCAGCACCAAGGACAGGTATGCTGCATGGAGCTTGTACGAAGGGTGGTTGGAAATTGGGACTTGTCTGTTTCGTTGTTAGCTCCATGAAAAGTGAGGGTATTGTTTTTGGTATGTGTTTGTGGTATGTGCATGTGTGTTTCAGCGTGTGTGTGTGTGTGTTTCTGCATGGCCCTTAGGTTAGATTGTAACAGATGGTTGGGTTCAGTCTGTCCCAGAAAGAGAAAGTCATTAAGTCTACATCTGGTAGCACTCGCTGTTTTCACAGATTTTTTCCTCACATGACCTCCTTGACATCTGGAGTTGTTTTTCCCAAAGACTTGTAGCCATCGCACAAGACCTAAATACTTCACGGATATCTGAGATCTCGGAATTCTTGTATGGAGACAGTCTCCTATGGCGTCGGAAGTTTCACATCTTAAGTCATTAATAAACAAATATATAAAAGGAAATTATATTTCCACTTGATTGCAAAAACAAGCGTCCCACTGTGAATAAAAAAGTTGTATAACGAAGTCTCCTTAAAATTCCAGCCTAACAGTACCATTAACAGCAGGCGTCTTGATTTATCCCCTCGCCACTCTGTCATTGATTAGTACAGATTGCTACAATTCTCACAGGACCAGTTTTGTCAGGTAAAATGACAACTTTACTGCATCTCGGAAATGAAATGTCGGAATTACGTCTTCCTCTGTCACATTTGTTCTGTTGGGTGAGCAATGCTGGGAATTATCCGCATTTACTCAAGGCGGATTTAACTTGAAAAATGGAGGTATTGTTTTTGGCGGCGTCTGTCTGTGTGTCTGTGTGTGTGTGTGTGTGTCTGTGTGTGTTTCCGCAACTTTGTAGTCAGCATAACTTCATAACGCCTTTATGGATTGTGATGATATTTGGTATGCTGATAAGTCTTAGGAAGACAAAGGTCAAGGTCAAATATGGGCCTCCTGGTGGATGACCTTGGTACTGCAGCTGAACTTCCGGTTTTTCTATCTTTGGTCCTGAACATGCTATGGTCTTGAATTTTTGGTGACAGATAGCTTTTCCTGTCAGGAATAAGTGGTGTGGGTTTGGTCCCCCTAGCAGCTTGTTCAGGAACTGCAGGGGACTTTCGGGCGAAATCTTTGAAAGCCAATAAGTCCAGATAGGAACAGCGTATTTTCATCATTTTTGGTGCGTAGGTATCTGACAGAGAGATGTACATAATTAACTGCAAATTATGCAAATGAGGACTTTATTTGCATTATTAATGAGGAAATTCTATAATTACAGTGTTTTACATTATATAACTTTCATACATGTAATGTATGTAACCTATGGCAGATGGAACATCAACAGATACTAATTATGCAAATGATGACCTAATTTGCATAATTAATGCAAAAAATCTATGATTTCTCAATGGTGAATGATGGGAATGTCATACTTGGGACATTGGGAAGTTAATCAAAAGTTAACATCACGATGCATATATTATGTTAATGCAGCGGTCATTTGCGTAATTAAAGAAAAAATTTACATTTACATATCAAGCCCATATTTCATGGAGGTATGAGATCTCGGAACTCTTGTTGGCAATTGTAGAACGTATTGTCACGGACAATACGTACCCCCCCCCTGTCACACATTCACTAATTTGGCCCCGGCCTCCTGAACACTAGTCGAACGCCCTGCAAACCATATGCTTAGGAGTACAGTTCGGATCAAAGCCGACTGGCGTTCGGCTACTATTCAGCTGCGCCAGGCGAAACATTGAAAATTGTCATTATTGTAGTTGGTTGTACATTATGTAAAAATGAGAGGGATTCTCTCTATACTGATATAATACATATACTCCCCATGCATCAAACGCCGATAATACAATGTTGCGTTCGTATTTCTGTGTGCGTGTGTATGTGTACGTGTATGCGTGTCGATATGCGTATGCATGTGTGCGTTCGTGTGCATGTGTGCGCGTGTGTGTATGTGTGTGTATATGACTCGTGTGTGGGGGCGAGCGTGTATTTGTATTTGTGTGTGTGTGTATGTGCGCGCGCGCGTGTGTGTGTGTGTGTGTGTGTGTGTGTGTGTGTGTGTGTGTGTGTGCGTGTGTGTGTATGTGTGTGTGTGTGTGTGTGTGTTTGTTTGTGTGTGTGTGTGTGTGTTAGCACAACGTCCGCCAATTCACAACCATCAATCATTGACAAATGATGCTATAAGAAATGCAGTATACATCAAGTTAAACCAGACTACAGAATTTCCCTCACGCTCCTTCTTGCCGTTCCACCTACGTAAGTCCATTATTGACTGGGACTTTGGGAAGAAAAATCGGTATGTAATCTCCAAGCATGGGTTTAGACTTCGGCTTACATATTTGGCGTCTTTTTAGGCTTTTTTATCAGGCTTTCTTTTCGTAAAGGTATTTTTCTACGCCAGCCC